GCGAGGGGGTTGATTGGTCAAAGCCCTTCTGGTATTATGTCTTTCCAGCAGCATGATATATTCTTGAATGTAAAATTCTGGTTGAGAAAATAATGCCTACTGGAATTTGATCTAGAACTGTGTTGTTTGTATTCCAGAGTGTTTTTTAGTTTCATGTGCCACTGAAATGGAAACATCTCAATGAAAAATAATTAGGTTTCACTGAAAGTTCCAAGTCATGCCTCTACATAGAAGCTCTTCTAATAGAAACTTTAATTTTTAGCCATTTCATTTTAAGTTTAAGTTCTTGCTTTAGCATGCCTTTGATCAGTAGCACTTCAATTTATGAAATTTATAAGAAAGAATGTTGTGAATATATATGAGAATGTGCCAAGCACCTCATATAGGATAGCATTTTCTACCCACTCCAAACGTAAGTATTTAATTTTTTTTTTTGAAAATGGTGAATTACTAAAAGGGAGGGGGAGGAACCCTCCAATAAGAGAGAGAGATTACAAAGAAAACATGGAGAGCATTACACATTCCCACTGCACAAGGTTGACATGCACAAATAACGAAATCAATATTTTCATTTTGGAATTATAGACTTCCCCACTTGGAAATTACTCCCAATACAATAGGTTCCTGTTCACTCCTTGTCTTGCCAATGCATCAGCTATATTATTTGGTTGATCTCAGTGTCCCTTTAATGGTTACTCCCAATTCTCCTCCCAACTTTTTTTTACCTTATTGCATGCCTGTTTTGTATGAACTAGCCCGTCATGACTTTAAGATATCTCTTGGTGCATGTCTATAGTTCTTCTACCTGACTACCTCATGCTCTTGATCTTACCATGTTGAGAACTTGAGACATGTATTTGATGTGATTTGTGCAATAGCTCATCAAGTGGTGGAGCATTGATATTGTAACTATTTGGTCAGCCATTGATTGATTTGGTGGGAGGATTAATTAATGATGAAGTGGCCTAGAACATATGCTTGTGTATGTTTTCCATGTTTTATGTCATGAATCATTCTTCCAAAAAAAAAAAAAAACTTGTTTAATGGGTGTGTCAATGAATGAGTTGGATTTCATTGGAGGCATCCACTAACAGTGAGAAACCATGAAATCTATAGCAATGGGTATTACCTTATTTTGAAAAACTTGTCATGCTAATTTTATTATCCTGAAGGTCTTTGTGGGGCTGGGCGACGGTGGAAAGAATGAGAAGAGTCAACCATTTCCTCTCCACAATTGTATATCTGGGCAAGAGATTCATCGTGCTGCTACTTTCGAGAGTCTAAATGTACCAAGGAAGACTGCAGCTCAATCGTCTGGAAGTAAACTGGGTTTGACATCAACCTCTCTTGGTAAAGTGGACCAAAAGTGCACAATTTCACCCGACAATGGTTCTGGGTTTTCTTTTCCTGTGCCTGTGTCATCTGGTGTACTTTCTGAACCGCCAACACCTACCATAGCACCATCATTGTCAGCTAGGGCTATGCCTGAATTCGAAGGAACCACAGTCCCGTCTTATAGTTTTGGCTCCAAGAAGTCTGGCCAGGTCCTTGTTTTCAAATTTCCATCTACAAGTACCTCCGCTCAGGGTAATGCTTCGACTCCAAAGTTCAAATTTGGATCAGATAAGGTGGCCAGAGTATCCTTCCGATCAGTTGGCAAAGATGCCGTATGTTATTAACAGTGATGGTGTTGATATATTTTTTTTCTTCATTTTCATGAAAACAGTAACATTTGATGTGTAGCCATCCCAGTCTTCACATGATTTTATCCCTTTGGCCGTGTAGTTGGGCACTTCGGCTATGTAGTAGCCCTGCAGTTGAGGCTTATGAAACAATGCTTTATCAATGCTATGTAAATTACATTTCTGCTTTCACCAAAAGACTAGGCGAGAAGATAGACCTTAAGGTGCACGGACAACTTGATAATTAGTTTTAGAAGCACTGAGAGAATCGGGTTCAGACATTGATAGGTATAGGTTTCCGTGCTTGGTGAGCCTCCAATTTTGGTGTACGTACTACCAGTAATATTGTTCCACTTTATTCCCTTGTGGCCTTGTGCATTTTAAGGAATTGAACAGAGTCGGGTCCAAAATTCATATATGCACCACCTAGGCTTTGGCCCAAACAAGGATCTATGGTATCGGTGGGTACATATGGGTGGTCGTGGAGACACGTGGAAACACCGATTCAGAAAGGGTTTGGGGTTTTTCAAATTTGGGATGATCAATGATGGAAGACATCCCTAAAAGAGTATGTCTGTATTCATACGCCAATAACCGAGGTCTCGGTATCCTCCGTATGGATGATATTTTGATCCTTGTCTCCAAGCCTCCAATGATTGTGCCAAACATGAAAAATTCTTTGATATTCTTTTTTTTAAACATTTTAATTTAAATAATAATAACACAGAAGTGTGATATATATACATACAATCTCATCATTTACATATGGTATTCAATGCATGAATCCAGAGGATCCCAAATCTGATGAACTTTCCAATTGGACACAAAATTCTTCCACATGGCTAAAATATAGTAAGCTCTGTAGGATTTTGTCCTCGCAAGATTGGTACTCACACTGTCCTCACAACACTTGCAGCCATGCATTGAGAATCTCTCTGTACTTGTGTATTTTCATTGATGGGAAGGTGTTCTCATTTCTCAATGCATGGATGGAAAGGATGTGAGGACGAAATCTGCATTTAGTACCTGAATTGTTTAGCAAATGTATGGCAATATGATTTAGGCCCAAAGGTTCTCGGTCTCTTTGGGGACAGATTCCAGGTTAAGAGATCTAGAAACATAAGAAAACACAAAATCATCAAACCTACAAATAATTTCTCTAAAATTTGTCCAAAATACAGCAAATAGCGCACACAATACTAGAGAGTTCCGACCATTACACGCCAAAATAGAATTCAATGAGTTAGAACACACAACTACAAGTCCACAACTCTCCATCCTTGATTCTTAGCAAAATATAAAGCTTTCAAAACAGACCAGACTTCAGCTTCATGCTTGTTCTTTTGTTTTGTGTGTGTGTAGGCAGCTTTGGATACTTGTACGATGTCGAAATTATAATAAATTGTCAAATTTCTAAGGGAAGCCTGAAGGCTGAAGCATTTAGAGAGACACACACCTAAGCCCATATTTTCGTGGTGAGTTTCGTTCAATCATCTTTCAGTGACAGCTTTGGCACATGGAAGAAAAGTCTTTGTTCTTATCTTGATTCATGACAGTGAGTGAGTGGTTCTGGTCTCCTTTCCAGTTGGGTTAAAAAAATCCCAGTCATAACCCGGATGAAAAGCCAGAGTTGTTGGTGGATCGGATTCTACATTGAAAATTTAAGACATTGGGCTGAAGGAATACCAACCTAGACCCAACCAGTTTGCTGATGGAGTCAGAACTCAGAATCTGCCAACCCAAATGGTCACGCTGGATGTCACCCCATCCACCAGCAATTAAACTCTCTCTGAGATGAGCCATCAGTGTCTAGGGCCCATTTACCTTCCACAGAAAGGATCCATTTCCAAGGACCATGGTTTTTGTACGAACCCCCCCCCCCCCCCCCCCCCCCCCTTGTTTTCCAGCTGCTGAAAATCTACGCAGTTCCTGACAATCGTTTGGCTTGATCACAAGCAGAGTATCACTTAAAAGAAAAGAAAAGAAAAAAAAAACTCCCAAGGTTGATATTAGTGGTTAAATGTGCCATTTGGAATTCTTGTATTTTGAACTATGCATCAAGAATTTTCTTGTGCCAATGGAATAGACTTTGTCCAAGAAAGATTATCTTGAATTAGTTGAGCTTTATCATTGAGGTATTTTCAATTAGAGAAGAARGTTAAAAAAAAAACCTTTATCTTTAGGGTTGATATGGATGGGCCTGGTTGGTGGGCTGTTGTCCTGAATTTTGTTTACTAAACTTAGTTGTGTTAATAATGACCCAGTAGCTGAGTTGGTCATTTGTGAATTCGGATTCAATCCTTACAAAATTGTTCTCACACCATGCTCACAGCCTTTTGCAGTCATGCATTGGGAACACTTCCCTATAAATGAAAAAAATAAGTAAAGAGATGTTTCAAACGCAGGGCTGTTAAGTGTTGTGAGGACAAATTTTGTGAGGGATGAATCCGGTCTCATCCTTTGTCATCCCTCTAAATATGGAGGCATGAGATCAAAATCTGTGTAACTGCAGGCTCTCCGTGGTAAGATAAGTGCTAAAGTGGTTTTACATTTATTATGTTTTAATTTATTTTCTTTTTTAAAAGAATCACATAATTGGAAGACCTAAATCTCTAAGGGTATAATCCCATAACTCAGTGTTGATCTTGGTTATCCAGGGTTTTGAAAGTAATTAAAAGGAAATGGATATACGGACATAACCTTCAGTATGTTCTTGTGTAAAGTGATCGTTCTTAGACTCAAAACCCACTTTCTCATGCTTGTCAGCCCGCGATTTTACTGTTGCACCTAGTAATGGCCCATTGCAGACCTTAATATCTCAACTTAATTAAGGGGTGTTTATGATTTGGTTAATCGAACCATGGACAATTTTTGAACCATTCTCACTAGTTTTTGCAATATACTGAATTGAAACTGATCGGTTCAATTCTGTGGCTTTTTGATTTTTAAAATTATTGAACTGATTGAATCAATTAACTAGATTTTTCGGTTCAATTTTCTCAAATCGGTTCTGTTTTTCAGTTTTCTAGTTTTTATGAGCACCCCTAACATGAATCATGTCTTGCCATTCCATCATATTCAATGTCATATCTATGGGACAAAAGAAAAATTAAACTTGTTTCCTTGGATGCGTAGCTCTAATCATCAAGTAAATAGATTATTGCCGCAAAGAATAGAATTCCTGCATTTAGACATTTCAAAAGTGATTCAGTGTTCAATTCCATTTAATTTTTGGTGTTAAAAATTTTCAAGATTTGGTCTTTTCTTTCTTTTCTTTTTTTTTTGGAAAAGAAAAATGGGTATATGAACTGAAGATTCCTTATCATTAAAACAATCTGGGATTGTTTTATATTTTTACTTTGGTGAACTGATTAATTTAGATCATTGTCCATAAGTACAACAATAAAAATCGAAGAATTATTGGTTCCTACCTGTTTCGGAGGAATTGTATACAACCAAATGCATTTTTAGTTAAAATTTAGCCCCAATATGATTGAAACCCACCCCACAAGTTTTAACTTCATCATACACTCACAGCAATTTAAAGTTTCCAACACCCCACTTATGATTCTATACCCCCTTTGTATTGGCATCAATTCATGCACTGTTGTTTAGAATTTGTTAGGTGGGGATAAGTGAAGTATTCCCCTTTAAAATTAGGTTTTTAATATAAAAATCAAGAGTTGGTTAGACGAAATCATCCAACCATATGTGCTCATAACAATGGTACCTAAACCTAATGTGTTCACGGTGCTGTCTAATTACCAATCAAGATCATAGATTTGCGGATGAGGATCCCATCTATGAGACAGAGGTTCACGCGTCAACCAGCCTGCTGCTTGATTTGCTTCCCTACGTCACACCGCGCTCCATAACGCTGACAAGTCTCGAACATTCCTCCATGATGATTTTCAATCTCCACGGGATCTGACATTGATTTTTTAGACATGAAATCATCATGAGAGAGTCACCTTACATTCCTCCGCGATGGTTTTCGATTTCCACGGGATCTGACATTGATTTTTGAAACATGAAATCACCATGAGAGAGCACCTTCATCAATGCATATTGGATAATTCTCATAATTGAAGAACAACATTATGAGCTTCCCAAAATAGGCTTTTGCATCAAACACTTGCCCAAAATGATTTCTAGCTATGCATGCAATCCAGTTAATTATTTCACCTTTTATAGTTATACAAACCATGTCAAAAGAGTACACTGGTTTCACTGTTAACTCATTAAATATATTGTTTGGGATTGTTCAATTCACAGCCGTAGATGGTTTCATTTGGAGGTTAGAGCTCAAGAGCTTGTGATAACCAATGTCGGGTGGAATGGGTAGTTGTTGAATTGAATTTTTGAAGTGGGGCTGTCCAGTGTCCACTCCACGTTTCGAGTACATAGAGAAAGAGAGAGAGATCCAATAAGCAACCTGAGCGTAGCTGACTGGCTGGCAAGCTGCCAAATGAGATGGCATTTAATGTGAAGCAGACATGAATTGACGTTTCAGATTCTCCGTTGTCTTCTGAGCATTCATCCGTTTTAATCATGCTATTTATAGCATTAACTTTTTCGAATTCTACACTACAGAGTTGGGGATCCCAAGGCAACCCCAAATACAATAATTCTAACACCTGTTGCAGAGAGAGGACAGATATTTATTTATTATTTTCTTTATGTTTATTTAAAGAAAAGGGTCCCTTTGTCTACTTTTTTCTGTGAAGAAAATTAATAAAGGCATCTCAAGAATCAAGGATGAAGTTGAGGGAACGTTTGCTGTGCGTTTGACAAGAGTAAGGAGGTCCAGTCTTCCAGAGGGTTTCAGTGTTTGCCACGTGGAAAATTTATCAAAATCTTTGCTCATATTTCATTAATTTTTTTTTTTTATGGCCAAGGAAGGGACTAACTTCGGAAAAAAAAAACTTGCAGTAGCTTATATGGATGATAAGCTCTGTTCAACAGCAGTCCTTGTCGTGTATTGGAGTCAGTAGCTGTTTGAGTTTTCAATCTTTACTTTTTAAAGTATTATAAGAAAAAAGCCAAAAAAAGTCATAAAGTTGTTAATTGTTACTTGTTAGAGAACAAAAGCATATTTAGGCACTTTACCAAACACCTTCAGCTTTTTAGGTTGAACAATCAACCCCCTATAGGCGAGAATTATTAGTATCCATTTGGGCAATACCTAGCTT